TTGTTTGTGTGCGGCTCGTTATGACTCAAAATACAACTAATCAATTATATATATATATATATATATTGATGAATAGTATTTTTTAAAAACTTAATTGACAAAAATGCCACAAAAATTTATAATCAATTAAAACTATTAAATAAAAAATAGAATAAAAATACATTAAATTATATTTAAATAATATTTTAATATAAACAATAAGTTTTAAATCTTTTCGCAACCCTTGAAATTATACTGTTGTTGCGTGATTAAAGTTGTCAAAACGACTCTTTTTTGGCAAACAACTCATGTTCGATTCGTTGAACACGAACACACTTTTTGTGTTCGAAATATAAATGAGCCGAACACGAAGAGTGATATTTTTTAATGAGCCGAACAGGAGCGGAACCTGGGCTCACCCGTGTTCGGCTCTTTTACCCCCAAATATATATTGTATCGATCAATTTGGAAGCAAACCTAAAATTTTTAAGCTCTCCTACTATAATTTATATGAAAATATTCTAATATGATCACTTTCATCATCAACAAAGAAGGAGATATTTCTGCTCATGAAGGCTTAGGGTTTTGCTTCACCGAGAAAAAAATATGTGGTGCTCTAAGTCATGATGTTAAAAAGTTGGATCGGAGCAGCCGGTTTGACTGTGAACCAATCATCCAATGGGTCCGATCTAAACCCAAGAGTCATTTTTGCATTGAACTATTGAACCGATCATAACCAGAATTAAACTAGAAAACTGATGACCTGGTCCAATATTTTCTAAAGAACCTATCTCTTCAAATATTATACAATTTTAGTCCTCTAATTTTGATGGGATGGCTAGTAATAAAATATTTAAATTAAAAACTAAAAAAGATAAATTATCATCTCTTAATAGTTTTCTATTTAGAATATTATTAAATTCATTTCATTAAAAAATTATTTGTTGAATATATAAAGATGATATTAATATTTAAATTATATTCAACTTTCGATTAAATTCCGATGGAATCATGAAACCTTGTATTATTAATCATGCTAAGAATAGTAAAAATAAATAAATAAATAAAGGTGGGACTATGCATTGACACAGAGATGGCCTCCATATGTGACGCACAATGTTTCTTTACAGTACAGTAGAAATCAATGATTTAACCACGACAGTAGAATTTACTCTCTTTTACATTTTCATAAACTGAAAAAACATAGATTATACAAATATCATACTAATTATTTCATGATTTTATGATTTTTTTTCTTTTCTTCGAAGATTTACACTCATGCCATTCAATTCATATGTATTTATATATCTACCACCTTAAGAAAGTTAATTTCAATAAGTAAAAATAGTTAATTTTTAAAGGTTAAATTAATTTTAAGAGGGATTGTGGGAAATTCATTGAATACTAAAGAATTTGCATGCATTTTTGTAAAATTTCACGTGGCTAATTAGCTCGCCAATAAGAATTAATTTAAACATTTGTAGTTTATATTATTACATTTTATAAATTAATGATGAATGTACGTTCGCTAAGATATAGACATTAAGGGTTTGTTTGAGGCAGTTTATTTATTGCGGTAGAGTTTTGAAAACGCATCTTACATGTTTGGGTAAAATGAGTTTTGACAGTTTATATGTTTTCAAAATGCTGAAAAAATTATTTTCACACCGCACATGTCTAGGTGCGGTGACAACTTTATGGCCGCGGTCTAACTTTTTCCAAAAAAATAAAAATTTGTAATGACCACTGCAAATAACTTATCGACAGATTATTTTTAATAAGTTTATTTCAAACAGATCTTTAAGCCATAACCAAATAGAAATTATTTGACATAATAGAGAGTGTTTCGCGCAGTATCTGATGACACCGCACATTGCAGCTTTTGACAGAATGCAGCCGTCTGTTTCTTCAGAAAATTACAGTGAGAGATTGCATTTTGCTTGCAACTTGTCCTGGTGAAAATCTAACTTTTTGGCCTAAAAAAAAATTTAAAAACACCAAAAGTTTTGAAGAGTTGTTTCTTCTGTCATAACTACAGTGTTGCTTCTTAAAAGAATTTTAACCACTCTCGTCACTTCCAAAAAGAGTTCTTTGGGGTGTTAAACACCTAGGACTTAAATATTGTTTTTCGGCCATACACTTAACCGATGTGAGAATTTTTATCCGTAACATTCTTCTCGACCCAATCACGTGACGTCATCGTCACGGATCGGCTCATCTGAGGGTCCTAATGGACCATAGAGAATCCACACACCTGGCTAGCGGTAATCTGCTCTGATATCATTTATCACCTCTCAAAAAAGCTCTTAAGAGAGGGGGTGGGCGGCCCAGGACTTAAATACTATTTTTTGGCACTACACCGAAGCCGATGTAGGATTTTTTATCCGTGACAGGAAAAAATATACCACCGACAGTTACGCTGCTCGTCGATAAAGTGTATGATAACATGAAGGCTGATTGTTGGCCGTCCAAACATGGGGTGTCCGAATAGAATATTTTCTACTCAAATTGGCCCTTAATTAACACCATAAAATGTGCTTCCTTGATTATTTCTTAATGATAATTAAGCACGGCAAGTATTTTATAAAAAGGCCCTTTTTAACTAAATTCAACAATGAAAATTTACCTATGCCTTCTTTTTTTCAAATTCTTAATAGCATCTTCTGACATAAAATAAAAATAAATAAATAAATAAACCTTTCTGACAGACCAGTATCACACATACTGATACCGCTGAGGACGGGAAGCACAAATTAATGGCTTACTGTAGCAGCAGCGCTTCTATTGTTACAAGTTGCCAGCCACACAAGCTATCTCAGTGTCCCCACACGCATATTAAGGGCATTTACATGCACGCCACAAAATTCTCATGTATTACATGTATAACACCTAAATATTTATTTTTAGGTGCATATGACTCAAATATTTAACATCATATCAAAATATCACCATTACATTTTTATTTGTTGTGACACTAATTTGTTATAAGTGTAGGATATATAAATACATAAATATTGTTTCGCAAGCATTTTAAGTTCCAGAGGCATTTACATACATACATAGCACTCGAGTCATATATATTTACATAACTAACACCTAAACTATATCTTTTGCGTATCACATCAAAGATACCACCATTTCAACTTGAATGAAATACACTTTTTTAATGCACAAAGGAGGTTATGTATGTAAAATTGAAATTTGGATTTTAGACATGTAAATACATAGGTATGGAATCTTCTGATTCCTTGAAAATTATCATGGAGGAACTTTCATTCTTTGGCACGGTAGAGCATTATTATTTAGTGAAAAGTTATGTTGATATAAATTTTTTATCTAAGTTATATATCTATTGGATTGGCTTTAACATGAGTGAAATATTAAGAGTTAATTAGCAATCATCTTACGCCAAATTTAATATACTGGGAGTTACGTGTCTATGTACCATGTGTTGGGATGGGATAGGATTTAAGATGCCTAATGGATAATTGGCTAAGAGATTTATAGCGGGACTCTTTATGGGCCTTGGATAGGGAGCATTTAACCAAGCCTTGTAAAGTTGTCTGTTGGAGAGTTTGGAAAGGGATGGGTTGGTGAATCAAGGTTGGAAAGGTGAAACCTAAGAACCCTTAGAAATGTTTAATGGAAGAATTAGGCTTTGCGATGATGGGCCCAAAAGTGTAAAAAGAAGCTAATAATTATAGAAGGATGAGGTAAGAAGGTAATGGTGTAGGGTAGATGATGGGATGGTGTGGAAGACAAAACTAAGATCCATTGATGGATAAGGGTTTGTTAGTTAAGAGTTTAGGGCTTAGGGCCTAAACAAAAAATCAAAGCAAGTCAAAAACCAGGAAGCCAAAAAGCAATACTCTCGAGAAGACATCTCTAATTCTTTTCATGACCAAAAGATATCTACTACATTACACAATAAGAAATAAATTCCTAAGAAAAGATGAAGGTAGTTAGGAATGGTCTCACATAATGTAGGGTAAGTGTGAGGACATGGTGCCTCCTTTAAGGTATAGATGGGTAGTGGCAAACTATTGGAGGCTTGTAGCAAATAATTTTCAACTCCGTATCATCTCATGGCATGTAAGATGGAGTTGTGCATGCACTCCTCCAATTGGCTTTATTCTCCCATGAATTTCACTCATTATGGTGTTCGTCCTTCTTGGTTAGCCTTTATTTGATCAACCCCAATGCATGGCCCAAGCATATCTATACTTTAACACATTTTAAATACTATTATAATTACAATTACCTATAGATTTATGTGCATTTCACTGACTCCAATCTTTTGATATTCAAATTTCTTCTAGCCTTGGGAAATTTTACAAACAATTTCCGATTACTTAGAATTAACATTCCCAATTAAACACTGCAAAGTTTTAATTAATTGATTGATCTATTTCATATCCACTAAAGCCATATATCAGCTTCTCCATTTTCATAACAATAATTTACACTTTTTAAGAATTAAAAGTAAAATAGAGTATGATTATATTATTTACATGCATATATTATGCTATGCACACACATGAATCCTGATAAAACACATTAGAATTGTGCGATATGTAAATGCACCTTTCACTTAAATAAAAATAAAGGAATATAAACAATAGAACGAAAAATAATAAAATAAAGCTGCAAAAAAAAATTATTTATAAACATGAACCCTGATAAAGCACAATAAACTAACTTGCCAAACAACAGCGTGGCTAGGCTTTGAAATATAAATCAGACAAAACTGTCCACAAGCAAACTCATAAACACATCAAACATTCATTCATATCTGCATCCAATAACTTAGAAAATCATTGGTATATATATTTATAAGTTGGAAGATTTGCAGACATACCACTCAATTCCTACATATCAAAACACCTAACCTTAAATTTTTACCTACATGCCACCTTAATACCTAACCTATGCATGAAAAGGTGTATTTTACTTTTTTTATGTGTTAAAACAGTGGTATTTTTGATGTGATATGAAAGCTTTGGGTAGCATAAATGTAAGTAGTAAAAGTTTAGGTGTTATCTATTAAATATATAGGAATTGGATGGTATGTAAATGCCCCATGCATAATTACCCTTCATTATAAATACAACAACAACAACGACAAAGCCTTAATCCCACTACGTGGGGTCGGCTACATGAATCCTTTTTCTCCATTGCGTCCTATTTAGTGTCATATTTTCATTTAGTTCTAGTAAATTAAGATCATTTTTAATACAATAAGCCCAAGTCTTCCTAGGTCTACCTCTGCTTTTCTTAACACAAGTCGAATTTAAAACATCTACTCTCCTAATCGGATCATCTAATGGTCGACGTTTAATATGACCAAACCATCTAAGACGACTTTCTCTAATTTTGTCTGTCACAGGAGCTACACCAACCCTTCATTATAAATACATGTGATAAAATCTTACTGGGCTGCCGCTTGTGAATGAAACTGCTATTCATTATTTCTCACAAGATACTTCCTAATTTCAAAGGAATCCAATGGGGACCTATGGTTTGGATAGAAGAAAAGATAAAAAACATTTGGCCACAAAGAGTTATTTTGGGGACTAAAATCAAAAGGGGAGAATTGTTTTATAACATTTTAAAATCCATCTATCACAAATCAAATCACTTGAAGCTGAAGAGAATGAGAAAATTCACTTTGAATATAAAGTTGAACTGAAAGATAGATGTAGCTGTGACCAAGCAAAGCAAAGAGAGTAAAAAAGAACTCGAAGCACAAAATTTAACATTCCATAAAAGTTAGGTGAATAAAACTTCGAATAATAAAAAAAAATCTAATTAAAATAACAAGCAAAGGTGGCACCGAATAGAAAAAGATAGAACACATTTCAGTACTTGATTGGCGCAAGGATTTGAATTTCAGAACCAAGTTTATCTTCTGCAGTCTTCTCAGCCTTGGAGCGTAGCTTTGTCAATTGTTTCTTCCTCTCATAGGCAAACTTGGCACGCTGCTTCCTCTTCTCCTCTAATTCCTGCAGGGCAAACGATAAATCAATTAAAAATAAGAATAATGCAAAAGCAAAGCAAAAGTAAAAAAGCTACCCCTGAGGGTCGTAAAAATAACAAAAATACAGAAACAGTACAGCAGCTAGGCAAGGAACCACCGTGGACTCTGAAAATAACAGCAATGCAACAAAGTAAAGACAAGTAAAAATGGGGGATAACAATGGTTAACGTGAGAAAAGACTAGGTGTTTACTATGAGGATGGCAGTGGGCTGAACTGAGCATGAATGTACAAATCTGAGCATCTTTCTAAGTCCAAAAAATTCTATCAAAAAGATTTATTAACCAAATCACCGTCATATTACTTGTAATTCTTCAAATACCAAATGTTATTTCATATAAACCTAAATATTTACAATAATTAAATTTTCTTTAGACCCATTTCTGCTTCACATTTCGGGATAATATATATAACCCATAATTTTGTTCATTGCACCCTTCCAAACAATTCCTTAGTTATAGTTTTTATATATTTATTTCTTCAAATGTCGTTGCAAATTTCTATTGCCTTCTCATTTAATGCACCTAAATTTTGGTGGAGCATTTAATTATCTTATCTCTTGCCTTGTAAATCTACACATCACCATCTATGCTCCACATAAATCATCAAAAGAGAGATTTTGTTCTGTTTTATTACATTCATTATAAATTAGATACTATTCAAATTTCACCACTCTTAATGTTAAGGCGCACAAGAATATTTGGGTTATTCTTGCATCTGATAATAAAAATATATATATCGATATACAAATATTAAGTGGAGGCCAAATTTATTGATTGAAGATTGGTTAAACCACAAGTTTGTTGAGCCCAACTTTAGCCTCCCTTGCTTACTACTTACTAAAAAAGTAATATCAAAACTGATATTTTGGCTAATTCCAAATGGTATATAAGAAAAATAGTTCATATAAGTTTTTGCTGCTTCTAACATGGTCAAGTAAGATGCAAAAACAGATGCTCCTATGACAACTTAGGGTGGTTGAGTGAACTTTAGATATATGATACTTAATGATATGAACATTGCTTAAGGGGGCGTAAAGGAGTCAAGCAACGAGGAGAACGTGAAGGAAAATATAAACAATTAGCTTATTACCACATCAGATATTTAAAAAATTATTTTGGCATAAAAATACCAAATGATAAAAGTCAACTGAAGTAACAATCCCGGTTTCATTGTCCCTTTGTTTTAAACTCTCTAAGAATGCCTTACTTTGCAATCAAGCCCCATTTCAAGGTATAATCAGTTTTTATAATATCACAACACTTCAATGATAATCGTTTGAAAGGAACTATTCATCTTATCTCATAGTAGGCCAGCTCAACTACAAAAGTCTAACTTTTTGCTTTTATCAAACAAACTTTAAATACAAAACAACTTATAAATTTTAATTGATATCCTTTTATACTAAAAACATACATTCATATCAAATACCCTAAGGTGTGTATAAAGCTCTCTTAAGGGATGAACTTACAGTCATCATAAAAAAAAAAGAAAAAAGAAATATCTTTCCTTGAATAAAAAATAAATCTAATTGTAAACTTGGAGGCTCCAATGATATATGTAAATCCTGTTAAATTGTCTTAAAATATGAATTTACTATTACAAAATTATAAGCTATAGAAAATAGTTTGGCTCCTTCAAATGCATTTAAATCTCCTATTTCATACCTAGAATGAATCTTCTTATAGCTCGTCCTAGAATATACATATGTCCATTCAAGTCAACTTGAATAAATATCATTTTTCCCCAAGTACATGTTATAAAAGTTCATCCATCATCTTTTAATCAAACTTAAGAAGCATAAGGAGAAACCATAATTAAAATGTCCTTAATGATGATAATAGTAACTGCAATCACCCATCACTAACTTTAATCATCTTAAACATTTTACAAAAGTCAAAATGTTACCCTGAGAATTTACATGAGGTCATTTTAGTCCCGATGTAGACCATTTTGACACGTAAAACATTCAAGGTGAATAGAATTAGTGATAAGATGATTACAGTTAATATAATGGGAATTTAAATAATCCTCCCATTAAAAACTCTAAGGAACATTTCAGCAGCAGCAGCAATAACAAGATGCCTTTATCCTACTAAGTGCGGTCGCATACATGAATCCTTTTTATCTATTGTATCCTACTGAAAGTAATATTTTCATTTAATTCTAATAAATTAAGATCATTTTATATCCAATATGTCCAAATCTTTTTAAATCTATCTCTGCATTTCTTGACGTAAGTCAAGTCTAAAACATCTACCCTCCTAAGGAACATTTCAGCACACTGAAAAAATCTGGGGAAAAAATAAGCACTTTAATAAATATATTGACACTTCTCTCAGTATCTTATCATCCCTCGACTAGATACAACTATGAGTCAATCTTAATGCTAACATTTCCAACATACAACAGCATGCCACCAAGTCCAAAATTCATGCTACTTTACTCATTTCAATTTAATATATAGCAAAGAAGAAACATTTACTCTTCCTAATCATTGGATCAACCAATTCTTTTATTTTTCCATTCAAATCCAATCTTCAGTTAAAAAAAATATTTAACACTTACTCATTTCTTGCCAATATAGTAAAATTTTATTCATTATTTACTAATTACATTCAATCCAACACTTGCCTAATTTTATAAGGTTTTAGGTTAAGTGCCCACACTTGAAATCCCAAATAACCCTTAAATCTCACCATATTTAAGCTAGGTAGTGGCACATCACTTCTAAAGCAACCCCCATCCCTTGGCGCAAGTACAACTTAAATTTGATTCATTCCATTATTTTTTACGAAATTTAACATATAGTTAGGTAGTGCCACATCACTTCTAAAGGAAACGCCCCTCCCTTGGCGTAAGTACAACTAAAATTTGATTCATTCCATTATTTTTTTACGAAATATAACATATAGTTGTCCACCTAAAATTAACTATCACATCCCTCATCCAAGCTTGGAATCAGTAACAATGAGGGAAATATATCATTAATTTCCTATAATTCAAAATTGAGCCATACCACAATTTATAACCAAAGAACTTAAAGCATTCAATGACGTGTCATGCTAAGTTACTACGAAAATAAATAGCTTATACAAATTTGAATCTTAATAGGAGAGGAAATTAAGAATGTAATTGGAAGAACATGTAATTTATGTATTGAAACGCATGGGTGAGCGTAAAAAAAAATCATGCACCAATCAATCTTTTATGATAACATAATAACTTCATAAGCATCTCAAAATCACATTTGACTGATTTCCACTTGTGTGAGCTCCTCTCTAGCAATCAAATTGCATGAAACCCCTCCCAGTGTAACTTGATGTCAAATTCCAAATCTCATTATCCACAATCCCCTTCAATGACATGCTCTCATAGTTGTTCTCATTATCCCTTCATTCTCCATTGCCCTTTCATTCTATGTCATTATATAAACCTTCACTCATTGCCCTAACCCTACCCCATCCCCCATCAATATCACTATTAATAAAAAATATGTTGGAGATCTAAAGCATGGAACAATGAACATTGATGACTCAAATTGTGGCACATAAGAGTTATGTTAAATATAACCAAAAAAAAAACATTTTTATTGCATAAACTTTAAATCCAACCAAACAATTTCAGATTTCAAATAATAAAATATTCTATGTTTTCATTACAATGCAAATCTAGAATGCATGCCTCCTTAATACATATGAACAAGCAGCTCCTTAGAGTCATGCAAGAATATATGATAATGTGGAAATGGTTGATATGCTGAAGGATGCCACTATTAGAGCGAGTTGCAAACAAAATTCATAGAGAAGTATAAATATTAAATATTTCTTGCTTACCCGAGCTAGAATAGGTCATATACTCAATTTCCCAATAATGAAATAAAAATTCAAAACAAACTATACATCATCACTTAATTTCATCAAATAAAAAAAAAACTAGGAACATTGAGATAACATCCTTCTCAAAAAAAAAAAAAAAATAATAATAATAATAAAATAAAAATTATCACACAACCGGAACCAAATCTCACCTTGACCGTGTCGTAGTAGCCCCATCCAACCTCAGTGGACAGTCTGCCCAAAAGGCAGTACTTGTGACCTGGCTGGAGCCTCAAAACCCTATAAGAACAGCCCAGTCCCCACAAAAGATCAGTAGCGAACAGCTAGAAAAAAACTAATCAACTACAAACGTCAAATGAATGATTAAGAAAACAAAATCTCACTTGAGCGCATCTGGAATCACCATGCGCTTCTTCCTGTCATAAGGAGGCGGGACGCCCTCGTAGGCTTTAAGCCTCGCCAGAGCCGCAGCGCCCCTCTTTGTCTTATGCGGAATCATCCTGCACCAGAAGACATTATTTTCCTTTACACAAAACAAATCAGAATGATAAAATAAATAGACTAAAAAAGGATAAGGTGATCCACCCGCGAATGGTGCGCCAGAGGATTTTAGCGGGGGCACGAAAGTGAATCGGCCCGTGTGACGGCTTGGTATTCATGCGCTTGCGAAGGAAGCGGAGATACTTCATCTTTTGACGAACAAGGCCTCCAGACAAACAAATCTCCTCGCAGCGAACAACGACGACATGCTGGCCGTTGAGGAGCTCTTTCGCAACGATGGAAGCCAGGCGGCCGAGCATGTGGTGGCGAGCGTCCACCACAATTCGCCTCTTGCTGATTGCAGATCCCGATACCATATTTCTTCTTCCTGCAGCCGGGCCGCCGATAGGGTTATAGGGCTAGGGTTTTCCTCCGGAATGGAAGAAGCGATGCCCGGGCGAAAGATGTGGTATTTATAGGCGCCGGGATTTGTTAAGAATATGCAATATTGTAAATTTATTTCTTTCTAGCATTCATACAAATGCCAGCCAATTCTTATGAATTCACCTACATCACACCTAAATTATAATTTTTACACTTATAAGACTTAAATCTTCTATAACACATTAAAAAATATTATTATTTTAACTTTTAAAAAATAATAAAAATGTATGTTTTCATGTATAATTATAAAGACATATATGTAAGTTTATATACATAAAAAAAAACTAATATGAATCACAAAGACATTCGATGGACGTTAAGTACGAATACGGCCCTTCAAACTTTACCACTAACGAACCAATATATCATACCACCCAAGCATGTGAGTATTGGTGTCATAAGTACAACGTGCCTCTAATCGAAAGGAGGATCAACTTTAGAGGACCCAGTTGATCAGAGCTGAGAAAACGGAATTTTCATCATCCAAGTCAAACTGAAAAAAATTTGTTCATCAAGAACCTTCGTTTGCCTAGAGTGAGAAGGAAGCAACAAAAGGAACTCCTTCCTCATTCCTCATGGTTGTCATTCTCTTTCAATTTATGTTTCTCTCAAGCTATGAGAGAAAATAAGTTTGAAACTAAAGAAAGTGTGTTTGTCGCTGTGACAAGCTTTTTCACCCCAGCCGCTTCAGCTAGCGGACGTCACATCCACTTCGGCTAGCATGTCCGCCTCCTTGGACAACCTAGCCAAGACCTCCGCTCATTCCGTGGCCGCAACCCACTTAATTTTAGCAAACTCTAGGACCATCAATTGAAGATGGAAGGCCTCACACACTTTTCGAGTGGTATCAACAAACCTTCTTAGGTAACTTGGGACGCTCCAACTACCACAACGACTGTCCAAACATCGATGACCAGACATCCTCTAAGAGCGCAAAAAGGGAAAGTTTAAGGAGGAAAGCCAGAGCGACAATCGATCGACTGGTCAATTGTGGTGAATCGGCCGTCTGAGGAATTCTAAATTTTCGCCCTGGAGCTATGAGAAGGAAAATCGCTTCTTCTCATGGGCGACAAATAAAGCGGAGCAACATATTCGACTCCCAATTATTTACCTTTGCGACATTGGTCCCAAGAGTCCCTTTTGCAAAACCATACTTGAACACGAACTCACCGAGGATCATTGACCAACTGACCTCATTATTGGAAGAGAGAACAAGAAACGGGATCTCCAACCATGTGAACTCTGTTAGCTCTAACAAGAAACGATAAATGTTGGAGCTAACCGAGCTCCGTAAATTCCTATTAGCAAAGGTCAGGATCCTACAAACGACATCCGAGGTGATAGATATGTCAAAGAGAGAACTACTCTCCCATCATTGTAATAAGCTTTTCTACTGACTCCACCACTCACCGTTGATCCCCATCCACCTTGGACTTAGCATTCACCCTCTTCTTGACTAATTGAGCGGTCGCCTTCTTCAATCACTAGGCCTCCACAATGTTAGTGCAGCCCATAATTCATCTCTCATATGACCATATACCTCCAGGAATAGAACTCGCCCAATAGTTGTTGGGTCTGTATAATGGGGAACTGAAAGCAACTGACCCTCAATATCGACCCCCAATGCCTTATAAAGGTATGTACCCTTCCTCTTCTGAAAAGAGACATCAGCAGAATCATTTTAATTCCCCAAACCTCGACTAATGAGGCAATGAAAAATTCACACTTCCAATCATTGGCCTACTGACCTAGACCGACAAATTGGAACCTCCTCCTAGTTGATTTGAATGGAACATAGCCATCCGATTCCACCCCAAATGAGAACATATGACTAAAGGCATCAATGAACCACGGTCCACGTAACACTCCTCCGTCAGGAGAAGATGACATAAGCCACAATTCAGTTTGTCTTGCGCATGAATAATCCCATATCGATTGAAAAATGACAGAAGTTCATAAAACAAGACAACCGCATCCCGTATTGGAAGTGGTATCGATACATCACCAGGTCATCCCCATATATATCGATCGCCCTTTCGTCTGGATGAGCAATCCACAACTGAATCGTAGTTTGAAAAATAAAAGTCTTTTCAATAACGACGACGTTTGACGACGGTATAAAGGAAAATTTAGGAGAGGCCACCAAAAATCTGAGGGGTCCTCTCCGGAGCCACATGAGCAACGAGGATTAAATGAAAACAAACCAAGGATAGAAGAGATCTAAGAGCCTGAAGGGGAAAGTCAGAAGGCACACACTTAGGCCACCTGATACCCTTTTATAGAGACTCTAATGCCCCCACCCCCCACCCCACCCCCATACTCGTTTATAAAAAACTCCACGAAAGATAATACATCGCACACAGGGACTGAGGTAGACGTATTGTCCAGCACATACATCCAAATTTACGAAAAATAAAATAAATGTTTTATTTATCACAAAAAAAACATGATTACGTTAATATATAGTTTGACAAAAAAATACTTCACATACTAATCTTCAGCCGCCTCAGCCAGAATTGAGCCCATTATAATCAACCTCCCAAACAAAATCTGGTCATAAATTTGAACTGGTTCACTCATTCGGCCTTAGAACTGACCTTCATGATAAGACAATTATCCCAAATCCAATCAAACTTACAAAGAAGAGCAGCTGCCTCCCCGTGCATCTCCTCTGGTCTGACTTGTAGATCTCGATTGTGGCAGGCCAGAATCACCTCCATCTCAGTCAAATGGTGAACTAAGGCCCTCAAAGACGGTCAATAAGCCTCAACAGTCTCTCTTCAAACTGCATCAGGTTCTGCAGCACCACTAAAAACTTTTGGCACCCCATGACTGGTTCATTGGAGCCTGAAACCATGTGAAGGATTGGGTCACCAAAGCCAAAGGGATAGGAAAAGAGAGATGGTCCCCCTAGGGCCAAAGACCTGGCCTCCTGACAGATGATTGGCAGGTTTAGCATCATTAGGCACACAACCTCCCGACTCTCCAATCAGTCGTCTGAAAGGTCAGATGACCGTATCTCACAACTACACGACTCGAGTTCAAGCATGGACTAAAGTAACCCCGCGTACCTATGTTCCGTAGTGGCACAATATGTAATAACGTGTAGACCCTTTCCTATAAATAAAGGGTCAATTTCATGAATAAAGATTACGCAATTTTTACTATAGAATATGAGCAACGAGGATTAAATGAAAACAAACCAATGATAGAGGAGATCTAAGAGCCTGAAGGAGAAAGTCAGAAGGCACACACATAGGCTCTTCAGCTAGCGGACGTCACAACCACTTCAGCTAGCATGTCCGCCTCCTTGGCCAACCTAGCCAAGACCTTCGCTCATTCCGTGGCCGCAACCCACTTAATTTTAGTGAACTCTAGGACCATCAATTGAAGATGGAAGGCCTCACACACTTTTCAAATGGTATCAGCAAACCTTCTTAGGTAACTTGGGACGCTCCAATTACCACAACGACTGTCCAAACGTCGATGACCAGACATCCTCTAAGAGCGCAAAAAGGGAAAGTTTAAGGAGGAAAGCCAGAGCGACAATCGATCGACTGGTCAATTGTGGTGAATCGGCCGTCTGAGGAATTCTAAATTTTCGCCCTGGAGCTATGAGAAGGAAAATCGCTTCTTCTCATGGGCGACAAATAAAGCGGAGCAACATATTCGACTCCCAATTATTTACCTTTGCGACATTGGTCCCAAGAGTCCCTTTTGCAAAACCATACTTGAACACGAACTCACCGAGGATCATTGACCAACTGACCTCATTATTGGAAGAGAGAACAAGAAACGGGATCTCCAACCATGTGAACTCTGTTAGCTCTAACAAGAAACGATAAATGTTGGAGCTAACCGAGCTCCGTAAATTCCTATTAGCAAAGGTCAGGATCCTACAAACGACATCCGAGGTGATAGATATGTCAAAGAGAGAACTACTCTCCCATCATTGTAATAAGCTTTTCTACTGACTCCACCACTCACCGTTGATCCCCATCCACCTTGGACTTAGCATTCACCCTCTTCTTGACTAATTGAGCGGTCGCCTTCTTCAATCACTAGGCCTCCACAATGTTAGTGCAGCCCATAATTCATCTCTCATATGACCATATACCTCCAGGAATAGAACTCGCCCAATAGTTGTTGGGTCTGTATAATGGGGAACTGAAAGCAACTGACCCTCAATATCGACCCCCAATGCCTTATAAAGGTATGTACCCTTCCTCTTCTGAAAAGAGACATCAGCAGAATCATTTTAATTCCCCAAACCTCGACTAATGAGGCAATGAAAAATTCACACTTCCAATCATTGGCCTACTGACCTAGACCGACAAATTGGAACCTCCTCCTAGTTGATTTGAATTGAAGATAGCCATCTGATTCCACCCCAAATGAGAACATATGGCTAAAGGCATCAATGAACCACGGTCCACATAACACTCCTCCGTCAGGAGAAGATGAAATAAGCCACAATTCAGTTTGTCCTGCGCATGAATAATCCCATATCGATTGAAAAATGACAGAAGTTCATGAAACAAGACAACCGCATCCCGTATTGGAAGTGGTATCGATACATCACCAGGTCATCCCCATATATATCGATCGCCCTTTCGTCTGGATGAGCAATCCACAACTGAGTCGTAGCTTGAAAGATAAAAGTCTTTTCAATAACAACGACGTTTGACGACGGTATAAGGGAAAATTTAGGAGAGGACACCAAAAATCTGAGGGGTCCTCTCCGGAGCCACATGAGCAACGTGGATTAAATGAAAACAAACCAAGGATAGAGGAGATCTAAGAGCCTGAAGGGGAAAGTCAAAAGGCACACACTTAGGCTCCCACCCCCCACCCCACCCCCATACTCGTTTATAAAAAACTCCACGAAAGATAATACATCGCACACAGGGACCGAGGCAGACGTATTGTCCAACACATACATCCAAATTTACGAAAAATAAAATAAATGTTTTATTTATCACAAAAAAACATGATTACATTAA